AGACTCTGAAGATGGCAGCATATTCCTGTCCAATCAGGGCACTGAACCTTCGGGGTTGATCAACAGTAGCGAACTGTTCAGTTGGGAGTACGTGAAAAACCTCAGAGATGAATCGCACTGCAACGCAATACAAGACTGCCATCCACTCTTCGCCACCGTTACTGATCCCGTCATTCTGGTCCTCTTCACCTCAGGCAGCACCTCACCCACTCCAAAAGGCGTTGCCCTACGAAACTGCCAGCTTATGAACCGTCTCGCCTGGCAGTGGAGTCCAGCCTCGCCCCTGGCCGATTTGACAGGACCCAGTCTGACCAAAACCTCCTGGCTCTTTGTGGACGCCTTCACAGAAGTGTTCGGTGCACTGCTAGCCGGTCGGCCCCTCCTCCTTCCCCTCTCTTCCCGTGGTCATCTCTCCACCGTCCAGGTGTTCACGGATGCTACTCTCTTGGCCAATCTGGTGCAAAAGTTTGCCATCGTGCAGCTCACCGTGGTGCCGGAGCAGCTAAAGTCCTGGTTGATTCAACTCGAGGCTAGCACGGATCGCGATCTGATTGATCACTTCTCCAGCCTGGAGGTTCTGGTTGTGAGTGGCCAGTTATTGCCCGTGCGCCTGGCAACCGACGCTTTTCGCATCTTCGGCGAGGTGGGCAGACTTCGTCTGGTCAACCTCTACGGCAGCACTGAGGTGGCTGGTGATGTGACGGTGGCAGTATTTGATAGTCTGGAGGAAGTTCTTGCCAGTCGTGAGGCGGAGAGTTCAGCTGAAGCTGACGGTGCCTTCTTTCTGCCTGTTGGACTGCCCATCCAAAACTGCGAGGTTTACGTTCTGACACGACGCTCAGGTAGGTGACTGACCATTTCTTCTAATGCATCCAATGCTATTAAGATGAAGGTAACGAATCTGATGAGCTACGAGTGCTTCCACGAGGAGAAACCGGGGAGGTTTATGTGTCAGGTGCCGCAGTATGCGCTGACGGCAAAATCTATGCTGCACCATTAAAGTAAGTCCTCGGTCTCTCTGACATTTTGAAATTTCTGGTGATAGGTATTTCTTTTTTTCCGAATTGCAATCTACCACCTTCCGTTTGACCGACATCGTGGAGTGGTTGTTCGTTGATAGGAAAACGAATGCTTTATTTGATGGCAGTTGACCTTGGCGTCTCGAGAGCCGCTAAAATTGTAAATAATGTGTTTAAGTGCAGAATGGTGAAAACTATCTATAGATATGGAGCAATTTTAAGCATAATTTGGATAATTAAGTGTCTATTTCCTTTGAGAATTTGAATGTAGAACGTGTTTTCCAAGCAGGTCGCCATTTGCACAT